ATCTGTTCTGAAAAACAGTTTGGTGTGTTAACAACGCAAGGTTTGGTCGTTGCCTGATCTTGTCTCACAAGACAAACTCGGCACGAAGAAAAGCAGATAATGACGTCCTCAGTAGGAAAAGTCAATAATTTAGATATTAATGAAAGGAATGGATTTTTGAGTGTTTAGAACCATTTTTTTCAGATTTAAAACTGAAGATGATGGGTCTAAACTTTTTATTTCAGTGCCAAGTTGTCTTTCCTGCTATCTAAAGTACTCTTTGCAGTATTCAAGAACTAATCCACCCGATATGAGACTGATTAACTGTCTCAAGGACCTTTTCTTTCCCCAAAGTGCTTCCAAGTTGAAGTTGGAATAGTTGAAAAAAGTTACGACCTGACCTGTGCGGGAGGACACCCCAGCCCTTCTGCGCCCCTTCTCACCCTTAGAAAACTCGTCCAAGGCCCAGAGTAGATTTTTCTTGCTATAATTTAGGACTGCTCCTTCTTGTTCTGTCAACCAGGAGCATGGAACTAGATGAATCCCTTCTTGTCAGCAGCCCTTGTGCATATTTATAGGTTATTACTATTTTTTTTAGCCCCAGCCGACCACCAGCATCTCCATCGCTGTCACGAGTTTCACCCAGCACTGGGGAGAGACTCCTTGAGTCAACTGTGGCTGGAAGGGACTGTTGCTGAAATGCCAAGCCCACAGCTGGACTATCCTCTCGGCTTTTTACAGCATTTCAAGCCCATCAGGTTTTAAGGTGACTACAAATGCCCCCCCGGGTTCAGAGGAATGTGTGCTGAGCTCAACGGCAGAGGAAGAGCGTCACTGCCACGGGCGCTGGGAACTACCCAGACCCCGGTTACGTCTCCCTCCAACAAGAGGACATCCCTCTAGCCACCCCGTTATGGAAAACATGAGGGTTGGGCGGGAGGAAGGCGTGTGTTGAGGGCAGCCCCCACCAAAGTGCCTATGTTTTGGAGAGGGAATCTGAGAATCAGAATCATTTAGGTTGGAGAAGACCTTTAGGATCATCAAGTGCCAACACCGCCGGGTCCACCAGAAGCGGCAGCTGGTGCCAAGCGGCGTTAGAGCTGCCGCTTTGCTCTTCAGGGGGGGCCACCCCATGCTCTGAAGAGGAACGTGATGCAGATCCTGCGCCTACAGGCCTGCAGAGCGTTTCCAGAATGTGAAAACTTGATCTGAACCTTTTCACGTTGTAAAGCCTGGCCTGGCCTGGGAGCCCGCGAACACCGGGCATCACCGCGCTGCGGGGCAGGGGGGGCTCTGCCGGCTGGGGGCTGCTCCCAGCAATGGCATCGCTGCCGGCGGCTCGCTGTGAGCTTGGCTGCATCTCCGCGCCAGCGCTGGGCTCGGCATCACTGCCACTCTCTGGGCTG